ACCTCCCTGGGCAACCTATTCCAGTGCCTGAACACCCTAACAGGGAAAACATTTCTCCTAACATCTAATCTGACTCTCCCCTGTCTCAGCTTAGGACCATTTACTTTAGTCTCTCCCTGCAGCCATGGCAGGACAGACATCCCCCACCTCTCTCCAACCCCTGTCAGGTTTTTAGTTGTTTGCTTTTCCTTGTCTCCTTTTCTCTACTTTTTATCCTTTCATTGCCTCCTGTAAATTCAGCCTGATTTCTTCAGTCCATATTTATAATGCTTTGTGGTTACACATTTGATATTTTTCGTATGTCAGTGTATACCATCACAGCCTGTCTATCACTCTAATCTTCATCTGGCAGTGTGTCAGAGAAAGAGCTTTGTCCAGTTTGCTTTTCCTTGTCTCCTTTTCTCTACTTTTTATCCTTTCATTGCCTCCTGTAAATTCAGCCTGATTTCTTCAGTCCATATTTATAATGCTTTGTGGTTACACATTTGATATTTTTCGTATGTCAGTGTATACCATCACAGCCTGTCTATCACTCTAATCTTCATCTGGCAGTGTGTCAGAGAAAGAGCTTTGTCCACATGGCAGTGACCTTAGATGTTAAGTGAGGTTTTTAGTTGTTTGCTTTTCCTTGTCTCCTTTTCTCTACTTTTTATCCTTTCATTGCCTCCTGTAAATTCAGCCTGATTTCTTCAGTCCATATTTATAATGCTTTGTGGTTACACATTTGATATTTTTCGTATGTCAGTGTATACCATCACAGCCTGTCTATCACTCTAATCTTCATCTGGCAGTGTGTCAGAGAAAGAGCTTTGTCCACATGGCAGTGACCTTAACCTAGATGTTCAGTGAGCATCATTTGATAGAGAACATATCAGCATTAGGAATGTTTTGGCTGTTACTTTTGGCTGTACTTTAGGAAGCAGGAAAAAAGTAATAAAATTGTCACATCTATTGTAGTAATCTGTGATTCCTAGAAAGGTGAAGGTAGGAAAGTGATGATTCTTTCCTGTGTATGTGGCATTGCTGGCTTTACAGCAAGGAAAGATGTCAGCTATTTAACATGTTGAACAAGTAAAATGTTAACTATTAATACAGCTTCTCCCCACCAATGGGTGATTTTCTTTTATTATCACTTATTTGCTCTTTTCACACTTTCAGGAATTTCAGCTGTGCATAGACTGTACCACCTGCAGATCCTTCTGTTTTCAGTATGGGTAGACAGAAGAGCAGTTTTGTTTTACACTTGAATGCTAAGCAGCAGAGGCTTAAGGAGTGTAATGCAGCCTGATCTTTCCCTGTTTTGTCTCTAGAGAGCCCTATCTTCATATGTTTGATATCTAAGTGGTAGAATACACTGACAATCTAATGAACATTTCTTATCTTCAAGGTTCTTATATAGGCATAAAAACTTTGTGACTTTACAAAAGCTCTCAGTGTTGCCTTACCAGTAGTCAATGTTAGAAAGAAATTAGTGCTTGTGTTTCTTGATTTTAATGAGGACAATTAAAAAGCAAAAGAAAAAAGTGTTTGCCACTGATAAAACCTGTTTTCTGTTTTAGATTGCTTATCTATTAACTTAATGCAGAGGGTTTAGTATTAAAATGATGGTACAGATGTTACCCTGGCAAGAATAGTTAATAAACTTTTTTTTAGCTGAGCCTTTCAGATATTTCCTGTGATGATAGAAATATTTTATTATCCATCTGTTAAAACCCAAATCTTTTACTAGATTCACTTGGTGATTAATGATGTCTTGACCTCTTTTCAGCATAGTTGCAGTTTCACATTGAAAAAAATGCACTTTTCTAAGGCACACCGAGAGAAAATTTACCCCTTCTCAGCCAAGAGGAAAATGTGTGCAGTTCACTGATGTTTGATGTATTTAATGAAGGGTATTATCATGTAAAATAAAGTCAATTTTTCACGTTTACTAACTGAATTGCAAAAAAAATTGTCGTGTAAAACACAACGTTTTGAATCCCTTAATGAAGCCAAATTCTGGGAGGGACTGACACCTGCAGCTCTCAGTAACCCTCTAGTGGCTGCTGAAACGTTTTATGGGAGTATAAATAAACACCTCAGGAGCAGACACTTGTGAAGTTAATAACAAAGCTATTTGCTTAAAATATACTTTAAATTGTTTGCCTAATATTAGTAAAACACACAGAAACTTATGCAGGCAGTAAGAATGAACAGGTTACGTACCAGGTCTTGCTTGCATTTCTGGACACTTAGAAGAACATTTGTTATCAAGGTTGTTCACAGCAAATGTCAAATTTGCAACTTTGCTGTCAACATAATGTTCTACATTGTTCATGTTTATAAGGCTCAGCTTCTCTAAACGACCCTGCAGTGTCTGGATCTGGCTCTTTGCATTTTTTAAGCTGGTTGCCATTCTGTTAACTTTGCCTTGCAGTTCCTTTACTCTGTTATCTTGGATTTCGCTGGTTTGTGCTGGGGTTTCTGTGTTAGGTAGCAGGAATTCATTACTACTGTCTCTTTCTTGGTTGTCATCTGCCTGCAGCTTGCAATCTTGGCAGCATTTCCTCATCTTGTTTACTGCTTCTTTAAGGGTCTGTACTTCTTTGAGAGTCTTCTCAAGCAGTCTGAATTCTTTGGGTAACTGGATGGTCATCGGAGGCAGATTTATCTGATAAGGACAATCCTCCCCTTCATCACATTTCCGATTAGATTTGAGCTTTACAGGACAAGTCTCAGTAACTTTCCCTTCTTTAGCATTCTCTTCATCTTCTAAATCAGCTGCAAAGACATTTGATGTACTTCTTTGAGAGTCTTCTCAAGCAGTCTGAATTCTTTGGGTAACTGGATGGTCATCGGAGGCAGATTTATCTGATAAGGACAATCCTCCCCTTCATCACATTTCCGATTAGATTTGAGCTTTACAGGACAAGTCTCAGTAACTTTCCCTTCTTTAGCATTCTCTTCATCTTCTAAATCAGCTGCAAAGACATTTGATAAAGAGAGCTGCCTCAGGACTATGTAAACGAGGAGCTTCATCTTCACTGAGAATGTAGCAGTATGAGGAAGTATGCAAAAGTGGAACAACTTTATAAGGGCAGCTTGAAGCCTGTGAGTTATCAGCCTGCCTACACTGTTCTCAGAAATGGGTGGGAGTGCTTGCATCACGAGTGATTAATAGCAGAGCAAAGTAGGTAGTGCTTGCAAGAGTAGCACATTTCAGTGAGCATTCCTGACTCAGAGCAAGTGAATGTAAGCAAAATGATGAGCTGCATGTGTGCTGGGCACTTATGCAGCTTGGTTTCTTTCCTTGTTGTACATGGATTTTCTATTTTTAGGGGAAAAAATTGCTTAGCTCTGTTACAAGAGTCTTCTAACATCTGTTTCTTAACATTTGAGTGGTGTAAACCAGACTATACCACAACAGGTGGAAAAAGTGAAAACCAGCCCCTTTCTCAGTCTGAGGTTTATCACAGCAATAGCTTCCCCCTCTTCTAAAATTTTAACTTAATAGATGTATTCATGGAAATGGTTTAAACTCCAAAACATGAGGAAACACATGTATAGTTTTGGTTCCAAACATTTTTCAGGATAGAGTCACAAGCTCAAGGAGGATGAGCAGCACTTTCACAGAATCACAGAATCACACAGAAGGGACCCAGGAGGATTACTGAGTGCAGCTCTTGGTCCTGAACAGGACACAACTGACAATCACACCGTGTGATTTCTCCTTACTATTTCACCCAGCACCTTAAAATAGTTATCTGGAATATTCATACTTTGTATGGCATATCACAGTTTAAATTCACTATTACCTGATTCTGAGTATTCTTACTGAACCTTTCAAATTGAAGGGAAGTGAAATGTAGACACTTTCCTCTTTGATGCATTGATCCCCCAAGTTGTTGGATTGATTGTCCAGGAAAGCCAAAGCAAATCCTGATGTTCTGAATAATGTCCCAAATTCTAAACTAAAGCAAGGCAGAGAGGTAGGGAAGGAACTCTCACCAGTTTAGGGTGTTGCTCATCTTTTTATGGTACCTCCTATCAGCTTGCAGAGTTAGTCATGTACTTTACATGACTAGACACACCAAAGGAAATACTCCTCTAGGTGACAATTGCCATGTGGTCCCTAATATTTACTCATTTTACAGCCAACTTTCCCATTTTCATGTGGTGTCTGTGCAGTTTTAATGATGTGTCATCTTCTTTGTGCCTCAAAGCAAGGCTACATGGATATGTCTTTATGCATTCACACCTCCATCAAGAGCCAAGTAACTTGCATGAGTAAAGGCTATTTACACCAGTTCTTGTTTAGTTAGTCCAATCTGAACCATTCCTTTCCCTAAACCCTATTTGAAATTACTCATAATACAGATTAAACATTAAACAGACATTAGTCACACATATAATCCATAAATTCATGATGTCTGTAATGTTCCTAGCTTTTATAGACACCACATCCTGACATTGATAGTACAGAGGGGAGGCTTGGTAAAAAAACTTGCTCATCCAACCTGCTGCAACAAATCCTTCAGGCTCATGCATAGCAGAATGGCTTGGGCACTTTACTGGGAAATGGGTTTTGAATCTATCTTTTCCATATTCTAAATGAACATCCCAGGACCTACCATGGTGCTTTTAGTGGCCAAACTGTCTCTCTCCCTTTCAGATGATGGTGATTCCCCAGCAAAGAGGAGAAAGATTCCTCAGCTTGGGTATAAGGTCCATCACTTCAGTTTCATTAAAAAGGCATCAAAACTGAAATGTTTGTAGAAGATAAAATGTATGATATTGTGAGGGAATGTTAAAAATTTTTCCAGTTAATAAGATGTTCATTTTTTATTGTATCAGTCTAAAGTCAGCTATTTATTTACAGAGACTTGTTCTCCTCTCTAGCTGCTGCTTTCAAATGGAGGAAAGCTATACCAGCCTCTTTTGAGGGGCTTTAGAAATATAATAGAATTCCTAAATCTTTGCTATTTGGGAAGCTATGTTCCCTCCCTGCATTGTTTGTTCAGTTTATAATGAACTCTGCTATCTGCTGTGTGACTTTGAACTGTACAAACTATTCTGTGTCTGTAAAATTGATAATAACTATCCTTGGTGGAACACATCATGTGTTTTGCCCCAAAATGTTTATATGTCTAGCAAATATTGTTGTAATTTATGACTGTTGTGCTGCATTGAAAACCTAAAATATCATTAGAATTTTGTAACATCAAGAAGGGCAGAAATTTCTAGTAATGCTGAATGTAATTTAAAACAAAGTTCAGTTAGTAAGGTGAAGGATCTGAGCTTTTCAAACATCTTTGTTCTGAGACATTAATTCCTTGGTCCCTTATATGTCTTCTTCTTAGGATATTTACTTCCACCTTTGGATGAGTGTTTTGTAAGCTTGTGATGCTCTGCTGTCCTCCTGATTTCATAGAATCATAGAATCACAGAATTTTAGGGGTTGGAATGGACCTTACAGATCAACTAGTCCAACCAGAGCAGGTTGCTCAAGGCTTCATCCAACCTGGCTTTGAACACTGCCAGGGCTGGGGCAGCCACAGCCTCCCTGGGCAACCTGTGCCAGTGTCTCACCACTCTCACAGGGAAAAACCTTTTCCTAATATCTAATCTAAATTTCCTTCTTTCAATTTGTGCTCATTGCCCCTTTTCCTGTCCCTGCAGCTCCTAACACAGAGTCCCTCTCTGGCTTCCCTGTATTCATTATTAGCCTGATGTTCTGCTGCCAGGCTGTCAGCAGACTATTTGGAATCTGAAAGATCCATTTCTCCATCAGATATCTGTGTGCTTCTCTCACCTGGAGAAGTCTTGTAATTGAGGACTGGTCTTTCTTCCAGTTCTGTCAGGGAATGTCCATTCCCAGCAATTTGTCAGGTCTGTCTTCTTCCTTCAGGAACAAAGGAGTGTGCCACTGCCTTTTTCACATTTCCTGTCTCTTGCCTTCCTTGGGGGAAAGGAAGCAAACTTTCAAATCTGGATTTTTCAGAAGTCTTCACCCTTAGAAAGGACACCAAGCAATCTTAAACTGTGGGATGCTGATGCAGTTTAGCTAATGGCAGAAATTTTGGACCAGATCAAAACTGAGAACTGCAGTTTGTTTACAAGCAAAGTTTCTTCCCAGATGGGTCTTCTCTAGATCCCCAGAGTGTTCTGCATAATACTTGTAACTTTAAATTCATTTAGCAATCACAAATCCTTAAAGCTAATCTTTTTCAACTGTGAAAGGATCTAACTGAATAACAGCTGATGGCCGTAAGTGAGACTTTTCTACTAAGGTATAGGTATATATTTTTTGCTTAAAATTAATTTTCTTGTAGTTTTTCATCTCTTCTAGTCTTCTTTTTAGGAATCTATTTTTCCTCCTGTGGACTGAAGAGATATCTTAATCTTGCAGACATATCTTCCTGAAGATAAAAAAAATTACTGAGAGCTCATGATATCCTTAAATACTACTGAATGTTTTGATTCTGTCCACAGAACTACCCAGTGATTTCAAGGTTAAAGAAGTGATATATTTTGCTTATCAGACCTGTCTGAGGACTGTTTATTCAAAGTTTATCAAAACCAGCATGAACCATTTCCCGTGATTTTTTAGAACAAGGTTCTTTTTCTGGAATGTACATCAAATAGACAACTAAGTTATGTCTGTAGGCAGATGTTAATCCAGCTAGTGACTGTGGCAACCTGAAACACTACAACTTGCCATCTGTTTGATTAGCCCTTAACATTCTATGATTCTATGATAGCAGACTGGCCAGAAGAGCCATACACCAAGGGGCTAATACTATACTGAAATCCTGAGTGTATACAAACTATAAAACATACTAATTAGTTTTCTCACCTCCTATTATGAGGCAAAAGAGTTGTTGGATGAGACCTTTCAGATGTTCCAAATAAGCAAATTAATACAAAATATTGGATGCTCTATGTGTTAAATTAACATTGAGTGGACACACAATGTCTTGCTATAGTTACAAAATCTCCAGCTTAGAATGAAGTGGAAAGTGTTGTTATTCCATTTGAGCTTAGAATACATTTTAGTTGTTTTCCAATCTCTGCAAACCTAATTAGAAACACGTGATAGCTACATCGTTTCTCTGAAATGCAGAGATCTCGGGCACTGTTGAAATTAAGCCTTTCCTAAGAAGCCTCAAGTGCTCCTCACTTTCATAATGACTATGAGTAATGGATATTAATCAGCAATTTCCTGCTGGTGACTATATTTATCTTCCATGCTTTCTATCAGAAGACTCTGAGGAGTGAGACCAACACTCAGATTGTATCATCTTTTTAAATTTAAAATTTGGCTACTTTTTATTCATTTCTGGAGAGTCCCAAAAGAAGTTTTAAAAGCCTTGAAATTCAAAATGGGAAATGTTCCTAGAGTTCTTATTTATATCACATTTGAGTTACAGGAAACTTGTTGTGACATTCCAGAGGAGTTCCATGGGGTATTGCTTGGAGCAATATCCTTCCTTGTCAGATAGAATTGAATATGATTTGTTAAAATGGAGAATGTAAAAGCTCACTGCACTTAATGCAGGAGCAAGGAGGCATTGATACAGAGAGGGCCAGATTTCACTGGTTTGCTGAGTACCTCATGGATCAGGTGGGTCCTCTCCCTTCCGTGGTTTAATTCCCACTCATTCTGACATCATCAGGGACGTGGTGGCTGCCCCAACCTTGGTGGTGTTCAAGGCCAGGCTGGATGAAGCCTTGAGCAACCTGATCTAGTGAGGAGATGTCCCTGCCCATGGCAGGGGTTGGGACTAGAAAATCTGTAAGGTCCATTCCAGCTCCTAAATTCTATGACTCTATGATTCTGTGATCTTCTCTTTCTTACAAACATCCAATCTCTATCCATCTTCCAGCCTTGGGGAAACTACTGTGTTAGGGAGCTAGTGGACCTGAAGTCTAGATGGAAGGGTGTACAGGAGCTCCCTCACATTATGTGTTACCTCACATTTTGCTCACATTTTCTTGGAATTTTCTTGAGGAAGTTTTGAAGAGAGCTCTGATGAGGAGCCGTTGGTAGCAAGCGAATATGAATTCACGACTAATATGTGAATAGAGAACAGTTATTCAGGTGTACAGAACAGCTATTTGAGCATAAATATGTTCTGGTTTTCTCTTGGATTGTTATATTTAAAAGATTCCTGCCCAGAGCCAGATAATCAATCTTTTCCTGCTAGAAAGATATGAAGGATATAACCTTCCCTGTTACCTTTTCAGCAAAATTTTCCTCCACAGTATTTATCATTGGACAGGATTATCCAGCACTTAACTTCAAGGGACTTTTCACTGATTGAAGGAAACAAATTTGCTTTGGAATTTGGGTTTGGTTTGGTTTTGTTATGTTTTGTTTTTCTGGTAGGAAAGCCAGGCTTCAAATAGTGAAAGAATGGGGAAAAATGTAACAAAGTTCAAAAGTTATGCTCATGTTAATCAGTTAAAGATGAGTGTGAAGTAAAAGAAAGGGTAACTTAATAGGATAAAATAAACATAGCAGAAATTTTAAATTCAAAGGAGAAGATGCAAGTAAATCCAGTAATAAGATACATATTCCATATTTTCTATGTAATTGCATATGTAATTACAAAGGGAAAGCAGAACATTGCCAGGCAACCATCTGTTAGCCAAACCTTCATCCAGTTTTCCACTAATTCTCCATTTAGATAAGGAAAATTTATTTTAGTTTATCCAGATGATCTATTAATGTTGAGCATGTTTAAAAATGTATGGGGCCCCAGTTCATTGTATAATGAGAAAGCAAAGCTGAGAAAAGCTAAATACAGTTAAGTACAACTGACATGGAAAGAGACTGGAAGACTCAACAAGTTAAGAATATTTATCCAATCAGATTCCAAACTCCAGATTTGAGACAACCAGTATAAGAAAATGATCTCAGTTCTTTCCAAGGCATTATGGTTAACACAAGACTGAAAAAAAGACATCCTCAGGTGCCATTCACAAGCCTCTTTTTGTCCCTCACTACTCCATCTTCTCACTCATTCTCTTACTTTTCAATGTACAACATAATTAGCTACACTGAGGAAAACTACATTTTACTTAACTTCAGCAAAGAGAGCTTCCAAGCAATAAAATGAATTATGAGTGCATAAATACTGTTGGCTATTTTACCATTAATGTGGGAAAGGCAGCCTTGAAAGATCACAGAATCACAGGATCAGTTAGGTTGGAAGGGACCGCAATGGGTCATCTGGTTCAGCCTCTGAACTCAAGCAGGGCCATTCTAGAGCACATGGCTCAGGATTGTGTCCAGATGGTTCTTGAATACCTCCAGTGAGGGAGAATCCACAATCTCTCTGGGCAATCTGTTCAGTGCTCAGTGACTGCACAGGAAAGAAGTTCTTCCTCATACTCAGGTGGAACTTCCTGTGCATCAGTTTTTGCTGTTCCCTCTTGTTTTATGGGTTTCCACAAGTGAGCAGAGTCTGATCCATCATCTTGGCACTTCCATTCATGTATTGAATACATTGATGAGAACCCTCTCAGCCATTGGGAGTGACACCATGAGCTCTGACCTGAACTGAGAAATCAAGTGTTAAAGTTGTCAAAAGTTTATGGCTATAAAGGAGAAGACATCCAGGATGAATAAGTTTGCTTCTGTGGAAACATTGTCAAATATGACATAGCTCTGCAGTGAGAACCTAAACAGTAAGAAAAATCCTAACTCACAGGTACAGATCAGAGGAGCGTGTTAGTGAGGTACCACCCAAATAGGACAACTATATCTGCATAGGAGGCTAAGAAATAAATGGGTTGTGATAGAGAAATATTTTCTTTCTCAAGGCAGAGCTGGTTACTATTGTGAGGTTAAGTGAACAGCATCTTTGGCTCACAGAGAATGCCAAAATAAGCATTTGAGAGCTGCTTATCTTTAATCTCGTGCAAACAAATGAAAGGAGAAAGAGCTTTTTTCCTTTTCTCAGGGTCTCAGGGAGCAAAGATTGTCTTTGCTACCATGAAATATTTTGCATCAGATCTTTAAAAAATACATAAACAGTTATCAAGAAAATATATACTTCCTTTGGCATATTAACTTGTATTCTGCTTCTTGACCATAGGGCTGTTTCTAGATGGTTTCTTCTCAATGTTCTACAGACTATCCCTCCCATTTCCTGGGGACCTTGTCAAACATAAAGGATAAATTATGACTTCTGGGATTTTCCTGGTGCTGTAGGAACTTCATTTCTTATTTCAGCAGATCTGCATAATCACATTTCTTGGCAGGTTCCCATAGAAGTTACAGATTTAACTTGCTGCCCCAAAAGTCTAGCTATGGGCTTTTATTGAGCTGGGTCACCTTACATTTTTTACTTGGATTTAATCTGGTTTACTTACCTGTAACCAAAGGAGGAGGAGAAAGGTTTTCTAAAGAAATATCACACAGGAATGGTGTGGTGGCAGGACTAGGGCAGTGATTGTCTTGGCTCTGGTGAGGCCACACCTCAAATCCTGTGGTCAGTTTTGGACCCCTCACTACAAGAAAGATATTGAGGTGCTGGAGCATGTTCAGAGAAGGGCAAAAGAAGTGGTGAAGGGTCTGGAGCACAAGTCCTACTAAGAAGCAGCTGAGGGAGCTGGAGGTGTTCAGCCTGGAGAAGATGAGGCTCAAGGGAGAACTTAGCACTCTCTACAACTACCTCAAAAGAGGTAGCAAGGTGGAGGGCAGTGTGTTCTCCTGGACAGCAAGTGACAGGGCAAAAGGAAATGGTCTCACTTTGCACCAGGGGAGGTTTAGGTTGAATATTAGGAAAAATTTCTTCACTGTAAGGGAGGTCAGGCATTGGAACAGGCTGCCCAGGGAAGTGGTGGAGTCACCATCCCTGGTGGTATTTAAGACCTGTTTGGTCTTGGTGTTTGCTGAAGACCTGCACAGGCATGAAAGGCAATGTGTTCTGTTGCCTGGGGATAATCCAATTCAGCTTGAGCCCAGCTCCTCTTTTTTACAACCATACTGCCTGTGGAGCCACTTTGAGCCTCAGTTTTGCCTGTGCAGGCCAGTGGGTTTATACCAAAACTGAACCAGTCAAGCAGTGTGGAAAACAGGTGACTTAGAGCCTGAGTTTGAAGTCACACAGAATTATAATGAAATATTAATACCGAAAAAAATCAGAGAAGTGGTGGTGTTTGTAGCACTGTAGTTGGGTCAGACAGACACATTCTTTATAGTCTTATATTTACGGTTTGAATTGTTATGTAAATAAGCACTTTTTTCATCTGTGTATTTGATTTGGTTGTGTATTTCATTTGTTATGGTACCAGAGACTGTATAAACTGAAAGACTGCCAATTACAGTTACAAAAAGTTGCAGCAGAATGAAAACATTAGTGCTTAGGAAATTTCATAACTGTCTGTTTCCCTTCCATAGCTATTTGCTGCTCGAAAAATCACAGACTCCAGAGTAGCTGAGCTGATGGGGCAGTACACCCTCCTGCATAAGGCTGTGATAAGGTATAATATTCCTTTTCTAGACTTTAATAGCCAAAGCAACACATATTTGAAATAATTTTCTGTTCATGCTGATGCCTATCATTTAAGACTTTCTTATGGTGATAGTTCATAAAGAGGAAGCAAGAACACAAGGTTGAAACCAGTATTTAATAGGAGTTTTCAAGGTAATTTGGGATACTTGAATACTTCTTTGAACAACATCTTTGGTTTTCATGTAAACATAAAAAAATGGCAGTGGAGGGAAGTACAGACTGCAAGAGACCATAGCAAATAAAAAGTAGATAAAATGTAATAATTATCATAGAATTTAAGGGTTGGAATGGACCTTACAGTCCCAACTCCCTGCCCTGGGCAGGGACACCTCCTCACTAGATCAGGTTGCTCAAGGCTCATCCAACCTGGCCTTGAACACTGCCAGGGTTGGGGCAGACACAGCCTCCCTGGGCAACCTGGGACAGTGTCTCACCACCCTCATAGGGAAAAACCTTTTTTGAATATATAACCTAAACTTCCCCTCCTTCAATTTGAATCCATTACCCCTTGTCCTATCACTGCAGTTCCTAACACAGAGTCCCTCTCTGGCTCCTTGTAGGCCCTTCAGATATTGAAAAGTTGCTATGAGGTCTCCACACAGTCTTCTCTTTTCCAACAGAAGTTGGATTTAAAGAAGATCTAAGTACTATATAGGATTTTGGGTCAATAAATCAATCTATTTTGCCCTCAATGGATGTATGTAAATACATCACACATGAAGTTTTTTGTTAATGATAAAGGCCCTTTGTGTTCTGTTGAAGTCTGTGGTTTGCTCATTTCCCAGTTAAGAAAAAGGAAGTGGTTTTCTAAGGACCAATGTTACACAAACCAAAACTTGTTATGCTATATCAGCTATGTTTGTGCAGTATAGACAGTTGTATGTTTGGTATTTTTATCGTTGCCATGTCCACTCTGTTTTTCAGTGTGATGTGTAATTTTGGTTTTCTGTCTAAGCCATAAACGTCATCTTTGAGCCAAAATTTATGTATAAAGTTTCTCAATATAGGAAATCCTAAGCTCCTTTGTTTTAAAAAAATATTGAATTGAGCTATATTTTAATTAGTATAAGGCAAGTGTTAGAATTCTTTATTCTTCTGCATAACTTGTGCCTAATTTTAGTATACTATTATGCAAAAGTCATCCTTTAGTAACAGTGAGAAGACACACATACCAGTTTCTGTAGCATAGAGCATTGTAGTGTAGTGCATTGTATATGAATTTTCACATTCTAGCTCCTTTCAAGAATTTTCCATAATAATCAATGCATTTTACTAACAGCCTTTAAGAAGTTGCTCAGCTATCACCACAAAAGTTCCTAAGCATATTGTAAATACCAGTCATAATATACAATGTTCTGTCCTGACATTATCAGAACATTACAGTTTGTTGTTTCTGCAAAGTTAGACTTTGGTGACACAAGTCAGATCAGATAACTGATCATGTCTACAGGCCTTATAATAATCTTTCACAGAGGTCCACAAAGGTATTTGCAGCTTGTGTATCATTAAATGAGTTACTTCAGATCCTGGTAGCAATTCAGGATTGTGTGGGTAGGGTGTCCCAGTATTTATTAAGAACTGGAAGTTGTTGTATAGCCCAGACTGAGCCTTGTCCTGGTGAACACATCCCTGTTACAGGTCCCCACACTGAATCAGGTCCAGCCTTTGGCACTTCCTAGGATAAAATGCATTCTCTGTCTCTTCATTTGTGTCTAGGAGGTGCTAGACAAATAAATTGGCCTAATTGTCTCTCACCTGGTTAAAATCAGATGAGATGAAACTCACTCCAACTCTAGGTATGCAGAACAAAACCTGAGATCAGATTCCACTGCTCTCAAGGCATCATAGGATGATTCAGGTTTGAACAGACCTCAGGGAGGTCCAACCTCCTGTCTGAGGCAGGGTCAACTAGGATGTCAGACCAGATTATGTGGGACTTAGCCCCATCTCATCTTGAAAACCTTGAATTAAATATTATAGGTAGGTAAAGAAGCATAAATACAAAGCTTAATTCTTCTCATTGCCTGGTTCTAAATTTGTCTATTCAATGTAGCTTACAGGAGCTGTTGCAGGAAGCCAAATGTCTTAGTGTAGAACTGGAACAACAACAACATGAACTGGAAAAAGCAGAGCAGTTCCCTGAAGGATCTTCCAGTGAAGTTTCCCAAATAAGACAACAACTTCTTAGTTGCCAAAGTGAATACAATGCTATTAAAGGAAGAGAGTATGAATATCAGTCCAAGATAGAATGGTAGGTGATAGTGGTCAAACACTGCTAATTTTATCATAATGACATAGAATATAATTCCATCTCCTTTCCTTCTCACATGGACACATTTTGTTGTTATACAAATTGCCACAAACTTTCCCTAGTAACAGCAGAATTTCACTGATGAATAAACTCACCTTGGTGCAAGATTTGCAGGTAAGTTTAAATTTAGGACATGGTATGGTGTCCTTTGGGATGCTGCATTGCATGATTAATGTTTAGGAGGCAAAATTAACATGAACAATTCTAGTCTAGGATACCTTTAATACAAATGTTCAAAGTGTCTCAGAGACCTCTTGGCAGAGATTTTATGGAAACAATGTCATTAGTAGACCCAATGCTATTTTTCATATCAGTAGCTCAGTGTATTCAAGTTTTTCTGTTCAGGTATTTAAAAGAGAAGTTGTATATTCTTATGTCAGAAAAATTATTAATTTTCTGTAAAGGAGGGAAGTCTTGACATTTTATATGAGGGGAGAAGCCCGGAATAAGCTTGATATTTTATATATCTCGATTATCTGCCTGTTTCATGATAAAATTACAAACTAATCTTGCATTTTTAAAAATACGTACCTAAGCAGATGAACTCATATTTTCATTTTGTGGGATGCTTTGCTGTTTTAACCCATCTTCAGTCCAGCTATAGTGTAGTTAATGTGTATATAAATACAAATCTATAATCAGCATCTCAGCAGTTAAAGCTATTTTCCTGCAGGGAAAGCAGGAACACTGCACACACTGCATGGAGCGGATTCTTCTGGCAGTTCTTTCTTGATAATTTTGGGGGGTTTAGAGCCAAGTGTTTGCTCTAAGAGGGAAAGAAACTTGAGAATGAAGCAAATTGGGAGTGGGAGAAATAGAGAAACATGGGAAGCATCTGGAAAAAATTATTTGCTATGAGATAACTCAGAAACATGATGTTTGCTGAAATAATTATTAAATACAGAATTCATTGCAATTTCCAAGCAGTCCAGAAATGAGCTCTTCAAAAATATCATGCTTTTTACCCATTTATCCTCATATCTTATGGACATTTTTCACTGATTTTGCATCACTTTTCAAAAACATTATGGGGATTTATATGTTTAGGGGATATTTTCCCATTTTCTACCTCTAGATAGAAGGACAATTCTGTCCTATACAACATGAAGTATTGCATATTTCCTACTGTAATTTTTTTATAAGAACAGAATATCCTTTTGTTGCAGACTAAAAATACATTTTTTGGGTCAGTCATACTATGAAAAATGTTCTTTCACTTTAATGAGAAACTTCCTTCTTCTGTATTGCACAGGACCAAACCAGCTGTACAGTCTGGCCACAGTATCCAACACAGACCAAAAGTGCAGCCCCAGCCAGTTGTGATGCAGGGATCTCCTGAGCCAAGTAGAGGCCTCTGTATCTGGGAATCCTCAGCTGACCCTTCTTCCTCTGAGCTTCTCCTGTCTCCTCCCTAACAAACTTCTGACATGGCAACACCCTGGGCAATGAGTTCCACAGATTAACTACACAGGAATTCACATAGGATCATAGAATCATCAAGGTTGGAGGAGACCTCTAAGATCATTGAGCCCAACCATTAACCTGTCATTGCTGGAACCACTAAATCCTAAACCAGATCCTCCAGTGCCAGATCCAGACACCTCTTAAACACTTCCAGGAATGGTGACTCCACCACCTCCCTGGGCAATATTCCAGTGCCTGAACACCCTAACAGGGAAAACATTTCTCCCAACATCTCCTCTGACTTTCCCCTGTCTCAGCTCAAGGCCATTGCCTCTAGTCCTCTCCCTGCAGCCATGGCAGGACAGACATCCCCCACCTCTCTACCGCCCCTATCAGGTAGTTGTAGAG